TCACCGCATCAGACTGTTGACTCTCTTACCCTCTCTCTCCACGCCTCCTAGAATTTTAGGTGAATGGAATTTCCAAAAATTTATTTAAGTATAAGATACATGCAAAAAAAGTTCAAACGTAAGTGTCAGCTCAACAGTTTTTCACAAGATGAACACACCTGTGTAACTAGCGCTTTGCACCCAGATGAAGAAAAAAAAATTATCATACGTACTACTTTAAATGAAATGTTAAAATTAATTTTACTTGAAATTACACTGAAAGCAATACTGAACTTTAGAAAACAGACGCTTTTTTATGGAACGTATTAGTTCCTAAAAGATCTCTTTAAATTGAGAAAAAAAAATTTTGTAAAGTTTTAACATGTTTGTGTCTTTAGTTTTTAAATGGCATAATTTGGTTTTAGGCATCATTGATTGACCTGCTGTAATGAAAGTTGGTTAGCTCTGCTATTTTTCATTCCCCCATCTTCCAATTTTGTTGCTTGCATTATTTTTTCATCCTCAGGGTTTAAAATATTTACGTTATATTCTGCAACCAGTATCTACATTGTTTTATCTTGCTTCTGCATTTAAATTGATTCAAACTCACCATGAATCTCTTCATCAGGGTTTCCCCATTCCTGGATTACTCATTTCAATTACTTTTTTTTGTTAGCAGGCTTCTACCAGTAAGTTTCTGAAGAAAAACCCTGAGTTCATGTTTGAGAATGTCTGCTTATTGTTTTTTACTTGAGTAATATAATATTTTTGAATCATACGTTCTTTCTTCCAGCTCCATTGTCTCCTGTAGTGGAATGTTTCTGTAAAGCTGGTTGGATTCTTTCCTCTCCTGCAGCCACCATCTTTTTGGTGACTTCTTTTCCTGCTTGGACACTTGAAGACTTTTTTTCTTCTTCTTTGAAGTTGAAAAATACAGCTAACTTGTTTTTCAACTGTTCTGCATAAATTTTATCTGGTATATAGTGCGCTTATTAAATCTGCAGATGAATACATCTTGTCAAGGAAAATTTTCTTTATTACAACTGAATTTCTTCTATTTCATTTGTTGAGGTCTCTTTGGAAACATCAGCTATGCTTATATTGTGTGTGTGTGTGGTGTGTGTGTGTGTGTGTTTTGAGACGGAGTCTCACTCTATTGCCCAGGCTGGAGTGCAGTGGCATGATCTCGGCTCACTGCAACCTCTGCCTCCTGGGTTCAAGTGATTCTCCTGCCTCAGTCTCCCAAGTAGCTGGGATTACAGGCATGTGCCACCATGCCCAGCTATTTTTTTTGTATTTTAGTAGAGATGGGTTTCACTATGTTGTCCAGGCTGGTCTCGAACTCCTGACCTCAAGAGATCTACCCACCTCAGCCTCCCAAAATGCTGGGATTACATGCGTGAGCCATTGCACCTGGCCTATATTATGTTGTCTTTGTCTTCTCTATCCAACATTTCCTCTCTTATTTTCTTTCACTCTGTTGTGTCTTTTCATTGTGATTACCTGAACCTTTTGCCCTATGCCAGTAATTGAACTTTCTGGCATGCCTGTTTTGTTCCTTGTTTGGAATTACATTTATTGACTCTCTAGTGATGTGTTTGGTTCAAATTTTGTTTCTTTTGCTCTGCAATATCCTTTTTCAGATCTTCCTAATGGTTTATTATTTTTCTATTCTTATCAAGGTCTTCTATAGCTGGAAGGACTTGTAGGTTGTATGTGCTTCTAGACTTATATCTTTTGTGTACTAACTCTGTCCAGACTGTCTCATATGATGTAGGTGAATTCGCCTTAACTTCATTGTACTTTGTCTAGGTCTAGTTTTCTTCATTACTAAGGTTGGAGGAGTAAATTATGGAAGACTTGGGCATGTAAGTATTGAACCTGTCCTTTGGATAATGCATTTATGACACTGTAGCTTCAACAAAATGAAGCTACAACCCATATGTATATGTATATACATGGATTTGTTATTAGGACTTGAATATATGAAGTATTGATAATTATGTGTTTTCTCCCTATGTTAATTTGGTGTTATAATTTGTAAACTTTGAATCTAATTTCAGAATTTAAACTAACCAAGCTGACACACTTTAACAGGATAGAGTGAAGAACGAACATTCTCATTGTTCCTTCTATGCTGATGGTACAAGCAAGTCCTGGAATCCTAAGGATCTAGGAATAATCAACCTGAGAAGTTTCTATGTGGTAAGAACAGCTATGATGTGTCTTGCCCTTTTCTCATCTACCACATTGAAATTGAATGCACAGTTCGGTATACAGTTCAGAGTTCTTAAAGATGTAGAAATGATGAGAACATAACAAAAGGTGTTCTTTAGTATTCTCAACTTTCCCTGTGCTCTACTGCTTCCAAATGCAAGGCTAAAGATGCTTTAAAAAATGAGATTGTGACAAAATGCTAACTATGGCATACTCAGCCATTCCAAAACCTGAAAGTAGGTCTGAAGCCAGCAGATTCACTACTCCCTGTTCGTAGGTTTTGGAGTTTTTCTGTCTACCTTCTCTCAACTAAATATTCATGATGGTTTTTCCTGTAAGGACAATTACAATGAAATACACTCCCTTCCCCATCTTAACTCAGATTATTACGGTGCTATTTCTGCATTTTTGTATCATGTGATGGTGGTTTCTTCGTGGTATATGACAAAAATGCCCTTTTTCTTGACTCCATAGGAAGAAAACTGGCTATTAGCTTGGGACTTCAGCAAGGCACTTAGCAAGGTCTCTCATAATATCCTGTGGTCAAGAAGAAAAATATAGGCTGAATGACTGAACACTTAACATGATTCACAGCTGGCTGAAACAACATATGCCAAAAGGTGCCAATTAATGGACTGATATCAAACTGAAGGAGCTCTCCAGATGTTCTACAGTAATTTGCCTCTTGCCCAGTGGTACCTGGTACCTATTATCAATAACTTGGGTAAATACATAGAATAGTTATCAAATATATGGATAAGATCCAAGTGCATTACAGCACAGAATCAGGACCCAAAATAATAAAACAGGCTGAATTAATGGGCTAAATCTAATGAGATAAAGTTTAAGTAGGATAATATAAAGTTCTGTACTTTGGTCCAAAAAAATCCCCACTACTCAAGAATAGGGTACACAAAATTTTGTTGTATAGATGGCAGCATATAGATGTAGCTGTTAAAATAAGTCCATTAAATGTTAGGCAGTATTATAAGCAGTAGATATCTGTTGAGTAGTAGAAAGAACATTGGATTTGGCATCAGAAAACTGGGTCAAATTCCAGTTCTGACAGTTTGGCCCCTAAACTCTTTGATCCTTGCTTTCTTCTCAGGGTGGTTGTGAAGTTAAAATGAGTTAACGTGTCTTTTGAGTTAACGTGTCTAAGTTCCAAGCACTTGTGCTCAACAAATATGACCTAGAAAAATTACCATTCACAATAATATAAGTGGCTGTACCACTCCATTTTGTCCTAGAAAAGATGGTATTTGGAATGAGAGGGGCCACACTCAAAAGCAAACCAGAGCTACTTCTAAAGATAGTGACTAGGATGGATGAGCGACTCAAAAGAGAGCATGAAGAATGGCTATAGGAACTGGGGATAACTGACTTGAAGAATAGTAGACTTAAGGAGACCATATCTACCTTCAAACATCTGATGGTGTGCTTCATGGCCTTCTGTAGAGCTCCAAAAGATAGAACACTGGAGAATGGAAAATACAAGAATGTGGGCAAGGGCGACCACTTGGTGGGGATGTTGTGAGCGATTTCAGCACAAGTGGATGGTTGGACTACATGGCCTTTAACAGGAGAGTCTGATTGTCATATTTCTAGGACATTTTTCATGAAGTGGATCCTTCTAAGTCTAGTCTCAAAATAATCCAGGATCTCTCCTATCACGGGTTGGGCTGGCTTCTTGCCTTAAAATATCATCTTTCTTCCAGTTCTAGGCCAGATCTCCTCTTTATCCAGTCTGACTTTCTTGCACCAGTTTACTCTTGCTGACTACTTTGTTTAGGGATTTCTGGTCAATTTTAAAATGTAATTTTTCCCCCTAAACTATCCAAGGGACACAGTACAAGGGATAATTTGTGGACATTTTTGGGGAGATGAGCAAGCAAAGCATGATTTTCAGGTTGCTTAAGTAAAAGAGTGGGAATTAAGAACCAGAATTTAAGAGTTCCGGCCGGGCGCTGGTGGCTCACGCCTGTAATCCCAGCACTTTGGGAGGCCAAGGCGGGCGGATCAAGAGGTCAAGAGATCGAGATCATCCTGGCCAAGATGGTGAAACCCCGTCTCTGCTAAAAATGTAAAAATTAGCTGGGCGTGGTGGTGCGCGCCTGTAGTCCAAGCTACTTGGGAGGCCGAGGCAGGAGAATCACTTGAACCTGGTAGGTAGAGGTTGAAGTGAGCCGAGATTTTGCCACTGCACTCCAGCCCGGCAACAGTGCGAGACTCCGTCTCAAAAGAAAAAAAAAAAAAAAAAAAGATCCAGAATTGGAACTGTGAACCAAGAAGTTGGGGCGGGTACCTTAGACAAGGCTTTTGCCGGGAATTTAGCATATAGGATAGAAAGCAGAGACCAAAGGCCTCTTGTTTTGAGGCTGTTGGCGTGCTACAAGGACTCAAAAGTTATTTGTTCAACGGATGACTACTGTTTTCTGGAGGCAAACTGAATACCCGGCAGGAGGCTCGGCACCTCCAGCTTGTTCCAGATCGGGATAGGGAAGGTGCCTGGGGCAATCAGTGAGGTTGCCAGCCTTCCTTAGGCCTGGGCCAGCCCGCTCCCCTCCCATGTGACCCCAGGGAACCATTTTAATTTTTTTACAGCCAAGCGTAGGGGAGAACTGGCTGTGCGCCGGTTGCCAGGGACGCGGCAGCCAGCTTGGCTGGGCTGGGGTGAAAGAGGACGCTGCGTGGGGGAGGGCTCTGCGGCTTCTGACTGGCGGGAGCATCAGGACTCATTTGCATAAGATTTTCTGACGGCTTCTGATTGGCTGAAGCCAGAGGGGCGGTGGTGGGGTGATTCCAAGGGCCCAGAGCTTTGGCCCGCGGACCTTTTCCTTCTGGAGTTACTCCGGTGGGTGTGAGTTGTTGCGGGGTCTGGGGGAGCTGGGAGGCCCGGTTTGGGACTTTTTGCAGGCAGGTGCCTGAGCCATCTTTCTCTGAAAGTGTTTAAGAAATGTACAAGAACAGCGGCCAGAGTCAAGAAACTGGGGGATGAAGGGTTATCTCAAGACCAGACTGAAGGAAACGTATCAGGGGAGGGGTGGAGGCCAGAAGGAAGGAGTTAGGTAGGGGCCCTCTCCCAGGCTGGCGTTTTTTGCTGGGTGGAATCCTTTTGCTAGATCCATTGGATTTCTGTTTTCCGTGAGTTATCACACTGTTGGAACTGGGAAGAAGAGAAAAAGAGGCAAGATTTTAGTAACTTAAGTCTGAATACCGAGTTTTCATCCGGGTGCATACGTTCTTAAAATACCAAATGGGTCCAAGAAGGGGGACAAAGTATGCTTTAATTTATGAGAAGACCAGCTACTAGAAACTGTATATCTGTTTTTCTCGAGTTTTCCTCTTGCAGTGCTCTTTCAATCTCATTGGACATATTTTATATTATTTTCCTGCTTAAGAACTGGGAGTTGGGTGGAAGGATCTGTGGCTCATCATAGCCGATTTCCACACTTTTAAGGTTTCTGACTCTTCACATAAACACCTCTCACTATGATGAGGTCCTATATCAAGTATAATTAATCTTTGTACTTTACAATGTACATAGTGATTTTTATTTACGTTATCTTATTTGAACTTAATAGAAATCCTTGGCACAGCCCATGGAACAAGCTCCATTTTTTTGATAAAGAAACTGGGGCTAGAAAAGTTTCTAAGTCTATGTGTGCAGAGAGGGAAGGTGAAATTATTTTAATGCTTCAGAGTTATATAATGCTTCCCCGCCTCCCATCCCTCTATATTTTTCTTTCCATTGATCTTCCTTCAAAACCCTGATAGGTCTATCCCAGTTTTGCAAGTAAGAAAACATGGGCTATGATCTAGAGCTAATAAGTTTTGGGGTAGTGGGTCCCCAGACTTGGTTCTGTCTCCAAGGGTCACTGACTTTTTTTTTTTTTTTTTTTTTTTGCTAGCAGATTAGTCCTTGTGGCACCAAGTCAGAATTTCATTCAAAAGACCATTAGGAAGATGGTTTTCTATGGAAAATATTTAAGTATAAGTCTTAATGTGAAAGAAAGAGAGAGAGAAAGAAACCCCTTTATTATGTTCTCCCTTCCTTTGGCATTTTTTGTCCTGTGGGAAAAAACTGTACTAGGGACAGAGACCCCTGTTAGGTTTTAGAGAAAAGGGATTTTTTTTTTTTTTTTTTTGAGACAGAGTCTTGCTCTGTCGCCCAGGCTGGAGTGCAGTGGCAAGATCTCGGCACACTGCAACTCCGCCTCCTGGGTTCAAGCAATTCTCCTGCCTCATCCTCCCGAGTAGCTGGGATTACAGGCGCCAGCCATCACCCCCGGCTAATTTTTGTATTTTTAGTAGAGACCGAATTTCACCATGTTGGCTAGGCTAGTCTGGAACCCCTGACTTCGTTATCCGCCCGCCTCGGCCTCCCAAAGTGCTGGGATTACAGGCGTGAACCACCGCGCCAGGCCGAGAAAAGGGATTTAAAATGAGAAGCTTGAATCTTATTGAATATAATTGTAGGACTGTCAGAGAGGACTGGTGGATGAGGAATATGGCAAGGGACAAAAGATGGGAAAAATTAAATAGGCTGTGGTTTGGAAGTCTCAAAGTGAAATTCAAGGTGCAAGGCTCTTAAAAGTTAAATCCAGCGATTCGGTACATAGCTTAGCCCCTATTAAATGACCCAGTGCTTTAAGAACTATCTTTTGAAAGGAATGCTTCACACATGCACCCTCAAAAATAATTGGACACCTCCTCACTTCTCTGTTAAATGGTGAAAGACACCCAAGACTAGACCTAACTACTGTCACCCTCTCCTGCCCTCTTGGCAGCCAAAAGGCCACATAGCCCAGGCTCTCCAGCATCACTGTGTAGCCGACTTGGACAAAAATTGACTTCTTCCCGTTGCCACTTTCAGATCTCTTGAAAGAATCAGCAGATGTGATAGTGTGCCCCTCTTCATCCCTGGCAACCACTGTTACAGGAAAGATTGGGAAAGATCCCGCCCCGCCGGGAGGGAGGCAAAAGCCTCTGACCCTCCCCTCCCCCAATAGCTGACCAAGGCCAGGGCCACTGCGGAAGCGTCGCGCGTCCACGTGCACCCAGCATGCCCGGCCACCCTTCTTACGTAAGAGTCCCAGGATGGAGTTGTACCTGCTGCTGGCCCCTCTTCCCCGACGGCTAATAATAAACCCGGGTTCCTGTTTCCCGGCCGCGGCCACTCCAGATTCGGGGTTGAGGGGCTCACTCTGCAACCAAGACACGTGCATTCCAGTCATCCTACCCCGGGAGCGCACGCAAGGCCCGCCCAGCCCCCACATGCCAGCCCACCCTCCAGTCGGTCGGGACGCCGGCGCCTTTTTGACCCTCGCAGTGCCCGGCCCTCCTCCAACTGGCCTACCCAGGACTTGGTGCTGGCGGGGTCCAGCTGCTCCAATCCCTCCTCCTCTGCCCTGCCCTGCTCTGCCCTGGCGCCCTCCCTCAGCCCGGGTATCAGGCGAGAGGCGGAGCTGGCCCGGCGCGCCCCGCCCCCGCTGTAGAAAGGGCCGGGCGAGTGTTACTCGCGGTCATCCTGGCCCGGGCCTTTTATCTCGGTGCTGCCGGGGGAGGCGGGAGGAGGAGACACCAGGGGTGGCCCTGAGCACCGGCGACACCTTTCCTGGACTATAAATTGAGCACCTGGGATGGGTAGGGGGTCAACGCAGTCACCGCCGCCCGCAGTCACAGTCCGGCCACTGACCGCAGCAGCGCCCTTGGGTAGCAGCCGCTTGCAGCGGGAACACTGAATTGCCAACGAGCAGGAGAGTCTCAAGACGCAAGAGGAGGTGGGTGTCCCCGCCCCATCTCTGCCCCGGCCAGCGTGGTTGCTTGAGCTCAGGCTTTTCGGAGGGAGAAGTTGTGGTGGTGGTGGGGGGACACCTTTCTCCCCGCGGCCCTAAGTGGGCGAGGAGGTGGGAATGCTCAGCCGCGGGGAGCCACCCAGGCGCCGTCCCGGGCGAGCTGTAGCCAGAGAAGGGGGTGCGCGCGGGCAAGTGCGCCAGGCCCCCTAGCCGGGTGAATAATCTAATCTGTTCTTTCGTCTCTGTGTATCAAACAGGCCAGGGCTCGACCCACAGGCCACCCTCAGCCATCGCGAGTTTCCGGACGCCAAAGCCAGGAGAAGCCGCCCATCCCGCAGGGCCGGTCTGCCAGCGAGACGAGAGTTGGCGAGGGCGGAGGAGTGCTGGGAATCCCGCCACACCGGCTATAGCCAGGCCCCCAGCGCGGGCCTTGGAGAGAGCGTGAAGGCGGGCATCCCTTTGACCCGGCCGACCATCCCCGTGCCTCTGCGTCCCTGCGCTCCAGCGCCCGCGCGGCCACCATGATGCAAATCTGCGACACCTACAACCAGAAGCACTCGCTCTTTAACGCCATGAATCGCTTCATCGGCGCCGTGAACAACATGGACCAGACGGTGATGGTGCCCAGCTTGCTGCGCGACGTGCCCCTGGCTGACCCCGGGTTAGACAACGATGTCGGCGTGGAGGTAGGCGGCAGTGGCGGCTGCCTGGAGGAGCGCACGCCCCCAGTCCCCGACTCAGGAAGCGCCAATGGCAGCTTTTTCGCGCCCTCTCGGGACATGTACAGCCACTACGTGCTGCTCAAGTCCATCCGCAACGACATCGAGTGGGGGGTCCTGCACCAGCCGCCTCCAGCGGCTGGGAGCGAGGAGGGCAGTGCCTGGAAGTCCAAGGACATCCTGGTGGACCTGGGCCACTTGGAGGGTGCGGACGCCGGCGAAGAAGACCTGGAGCAGCAGTTCCACTACCACCTGCGCGGGCTGCACACTGTGCTCTCGAAACTCACGCGCAAAGCCAACATCCTCACTAACAGATACAAGCAGGAGATCGGCTTCGGCAATTGGGGCCACTGAGGCGTGGCGCCCGCGGCTGCCCAGCACCCTCTTCGACCCATCTCACCCTCTCTCATTCCTTAAAGCTTTTTTTTTGTTTTTCCTGGCTGGGGGGCGGGAAGGGCAGACTGCAAATTGGGGGGCTGCGTACGTGCAGGAGGCGAGGTGGGGCTGCGTGGAGGAGGGGGCCTCGTGTGAGAGAGAAGAAAATGGTGGCCGGAGAGGGGAGGGCCCAAGGAACCTCCTGGGAGGGGGCCTGCATTCTATGTTGGTGGGAATGGGACTGGGCTGACGCTCTGCATTCAGCCTGTGCCTTTCCTGGGGTTTCTTTTCTGTTCTTTTCGGAGGAGAAGGGCCCGAGAAGGGCCATACCAGGGCGCGGCGCTGGGTTGCCACACTTGGGAAAGCAGCCCGGAGCTGGGTGCTGGGGAAGGCGGGGCGCATAGCCTCCCGCCGCCCTGCGGTTGGGCCGGTGGAGGCCCAGGCGTTGCTAGGATTGCATCAGTTTTCCTGTTTGCACTATTTCTTTTTGTAACATTGGCCCTGTGTTAAGTATTTCGAATCTCCTTCTTGCTCTGAAACTTCAGCGATTCCATTGTGATAAGCGCACAAACAGCACTGTCTGTCGGTAATCGGTACTACTTTATTAATGATTTTCTGTTACACTGTATAGTAGTCCTGTGGCACCCCCACCCCATCCCTTTCGTGCCACTCCCGTCCCCACCCCCACCCCAGCGTGTATAAGCTGGCATTTCGCCGGCTTGTACGAAGCTTGCCACTCAGTGAAAATAATAACATTATTATGAGAAAGTGGACTTAACCGAAATGGAACCAACTGACATTCTATCGTGTTGTACATAGAATGATGAAGGGTTCCACTGTTGTTGTATGTCTTAAATTTATTTAAAACTTTTTTTAATCCAGATGTAGATTATATTCTAAAAAATAAAAAAGCAAATGTGTCAACTAAACTGGACAAGCGTCTGGTCCTCATTAATCTGCCAATGAATGGTTTCATCATTAAATAAAAATCAATTGATTTACTAGCAAAAGTAAATTTTGTGTTCTCTCTGGTGTTTCATGGTGGTGGATATTCATCTATGCGAGTATTTAGCTTTGTTTGGGAACTAGGTACTGACAAAATTTACTTCCAAACTTTATTTCTAATTCAGTACCAAGATAGGACCATACATCTCAACAAGTTCAGAAATATTTAAAGTATTTGGGAAGGTACATATATTGTATCCTTCAACCAATTTGGCTAACTTACTGGAGTGCGTAATTAAAATTTTGAATTTTTTAAGAAGCTCAAGCACAAGCTAAAGTGTTTCGAGGCATAAAAACAAGGCTGAAATTTCACTTGGTTACTGAGAAGTGAAAATTAGAAAGGGAAGACCAGCTAATCCCAGTGCACACACCTTACAGGTTTTTAAGTTTATCTGAGTAGATATTTAAATGCATTATAACATGATCGATGACTTTTTTCACTAGTTCCAAAAAGGGCTAAGCTTTGTTGAGCGGCGTCCGGTAATGCTTCCAGTTTTTCAGTGAGCCAGTCTGCAATTGTGGACAGCAGTTCTGATCAAGGCTGCTGTGGAGCCCTTGGGAATGCTTAGATGCCATTATGATGCTCTACTGGGATGGTGGGAAGGGTAAAAGAATATGCTCTGCATATTCTTTATTTCATTATTTGTTTTTGGGGGATAAATGTCAGATCAACTTGTTGAAGTCATGAGGCGTTCTCTAAGCTCATAGGGCTTGAATTTAAAATATACGTAAGTTTGCAGTCTTAAAAAACAAGCAAAATGTTTCGTGGTGCTGGCGGGCAGGGGCAACTCAAGTCTATTATCAGCTTTTAGCTGCAGTGAAAAAAAAATGGGGAAGTGTCAAGATGGGTGCTTGCCAGTTGCCAAAGAAAGTTAATCTTTAATTTGTGTAAAGATAAGCTAGGCGGCACCAAATGTAAGACATACAGCCTCTTGTCTTGTGTCCCCTTCAAAATATCAAAGTGTAAGCAAAAAATAAAGGAAACTGAAAAAAAAAAAAAAAAAGGCCGCATGGTAGAAACACAAAGACTTTCAAAGACTTTGGAGCCAGAAACTGTGTGCAAATCCTCTTGCTACTAACTAATTGTGTGCATTTAACTCCAAGCCTGTTGCCACATTAGTAATCAGGCATAATAGTAACTACACTGCTTACTTCATGGAGTTGCAGTGAGAATTAAATGACACTATATATAAAGCGTTTGAGGCTTAACATTGTCTTTAGACACTACTGAAGGGCTTTACAAGTTTCTCTCTTTTTTGATGTTTACAGTGATTACATTTAAGCAACTTTCATACATGTTCAGTTTTAGCATATTGACTACATTTCTCTGACAAATATGCTTAAAAAAAACCAATAACATTATAGAGTTAATGCAGAGTCCTAAGAATAATCTAGTAGCCACTAAGGTTTTCTTAAATCTTCACTTTACATGCTGTTATTTCTAGCACGAGTAAGCAGAGTCTTTCATATGCTTAAACACTGGAGTCTTTGGTTGCTACCATTATCAGCTGGCTTGCAAACAAGAAGCCAGCCATTTTAGGAATGCTTTAAGTGAACACTTGCAAACCCCAGGGATGGAAAAAATCCCTAAGAATGCCCAATTGTGAGCGTTTACAACCATCACAACTGTGGCTGAAGACTATGCCCTTCTGAAATGAGATCTCAAAGCAGTATAGCTCGAAACAAAAGGTTTTAGCAAAAAAATAACATATGCACAATTTCTCCACCACTTTGTGTGCGTCAACCATTTAGTTAACTTTTCCACTTGAAACAATGCAATAGAAAACTTGACACCATGTTTCGCTATCTCAGTTAATATTCACAATTACAGTGGCTACAACTCGGAAACGGCATTACCAATGCTGCCCAGAGTCACTTTCTATTGAAATTAAGTTCTTTACACCAAGTAAATGGTTGTTTACAACCACTGGCTAGTGTCAGTATGAAGTAAATTGTATGAAGTAAAATTTCTAGATTTGGGGGGAAAACAAATACTGCTCCAATCATCTCCTCTGCTGCTTCTGTTCCTCAATTCAAGCTTGAAAACCTTTCATGTTGCTTTCTTGGTTTTGTCCGTTTGCTTGCCTGTGGGGATTTGGGCCTGCTGACCTGCACATTTCTCTCTTAATCTAAATGTTGTTTCATGTCTCCATTTCTGCCCCCACCCTACATTCTTCGTGAATATATGAGGCTTAGGACAATATGTCCACTTTAAGGAAAAGCATAATTTTAATTACATACGTGAAGCAACAAGTAAACTATCTCCTTTCTCAAAGCCATGAAAGAGAACTTGACTTAAAACCAAAAAAATAAAATAAAATAAAACTAAATAAATAAATTCACAATTTGGGCAAGTGATAGCAAGCACTTTGGGGACATTCACTGAAAGTTGTTTTTGGAATATTATTGCAGTATATATAATACAGAAAAGTACATGTAGATAGCAAAACTAAACTCGAAAGAGTTATCAATTATTAACTTTATTTTTGAAAGTATTTCTTCATGTAAGAGACTTTTTATATATAAACAGTGATTCTGACCTAGGAATAATGATGCTCGCTGTTAAAGAGCATTGGGATATTTATGAACCAATAAAGTTTCTGGGCCCAGTAAATACTATTCCACTAGTAGTAACTACTACTTGTGAAACAAAATTAGGACAAATCCCCAAAAGATTCTCCAGTTAAAGCTTCTCAAGCTATTGAAAATTTTGCTGAACTTCTGAGGTAAAGCAATAAGTGACTTCATATTTTCAGAAGGTCTTTCGTGAGGAATCTCAAAGTCATTTATAGATTTTAGGAGTTGAATAGAGTTGAATTTTAAGAATTGAATACATTGTGTGGCATACCCCTCAGAGAGCTCTCAGACATACTGTTGCTCTTTGACAGTGCCCAACTCCATGGCAGTTTATGACTAAGGGGAAGGCACAGAGAGATGAACTGGGCAAAAAGGAACAGCTTAGGTTGCAATTGATTACCCTCCAGATATTTACATTTGATAGGAATGTAAGAATTTTTTACATCAAAATCTTGTACCAAAGCTTCTGAGAAAGCCTGGTTTTGCCCCTAAACACAGCTTTCTGCTTTGTTCACATGGGGATTTTCATGTTTTACATTTATCCAATATTTCTTGGTGGTCTGGCCTAATTTACTCTTCCCGTGAACCTGAAAACAGTTTGTTAGAGAACATGCCATAATTACACTTTTGAGCAACTTGAAAACTAGCCTTCTGTTGACATTTTTTTTAATTTTTAAATGAAGTTTATTGGCATTTGCATATGCCTCGTCATTTCCCCTTATTTTTAGTTGCTGAGCAAAAATCATTTGAAAAATAGTGTCTCTCCTGTCTGCCTCTTTCGCCCTCTTTGTCTCTCTCCCTCCCCCAGTCCCTTCCTCCCTCTGTTCTGCATTGCCAATGGTTCTCAGATGTTTGCAAATTGGACACAGTTCTGGTGGATTCAGAGCTCAAATCTCATGCAATGTACCTTTTTTCCCAAAGTTATTTATCTTTTGATGGTACATCTAGTACATTTTTACCAATCAGTGCATCTTTCTTTTATTTATTTTGAAGAGTTTTGGATACAATAATGACAGAAGGAATGTTTTCTTTTAAAGTTTTGGAGATAATGCTTTGCTCCCAACTAACAAAAAAACTTGATTGCAAGTTTTTGAAAACTCTAAAGATGTAGCATATTGGATTTGTTTCTTAACATTAATTACTAGTCTTTTTAAAGTTGAAAAGTTTATGTAGCTTCTAATCAAGGCTAAATTGCTTTAATTATTAAGATAATTTAAACTTAAAATTATTTATTTTTTCTTTTAAGTCAGGCATAGTCTTTTTTTTTTTTTTAATAACTCGAGGAAATGTAAAGATTGTTCTTGAGTCACTTCGAACACTTTCACTAGGCCTCTAGCTAGTTTACTTGGAGCTGTGTAGAACTTTCTGATTGGTGGTGGACATGATGATAATGTATTACCAACAACTATTTTCGTCTCTGAAAACTAGTATTATCTTTTGACTCATGCAAATCTCATGCCCAGGACTCTCCACTATACAAGACCCCAACTCTGACTGTCATAAGGCCTTGCCACTCTCCATGGGGCAAAGAATCCTCAGAGCCAAAGGAATGCCCAGAACTGTGTCCCTACTTCTAGACCACACTCTGGGCACTTGGATACCCAGAGTTCCCTGTCCAAATGGCTCTGAGCCCATTCCAGGGATTTCATAGGTATCTGCTCTGGGTGTATTCTCCAGTGGCAGATGAGCTGCTGACTGTGCACCCCTAGGCCTGGGGCTTGGGGGGGAGCTGTGGATGGAGCTTGGACATGCAGACTGGGCAGTCCATATTTGTGCACACAAGGCCTTTTGTGGTGCAGAATGGAGTTTGGGTAAGAAAATAAGGAGATGGAGCAGAGGCTGGAGATTCCTGTTTGTTCTCTTGCCCTTTCTCCCTGAGTTTCAGGATGAACAAAGGGGTTGAAGACTGCAGAAAGGAAACAAGAGGTGAAAGCAGCTCAAGCTTTAAGGTCTTTTTTGGTTTCAACAAAAGAGGATTCTGTGCTTTTTCTCCCTGATACCCACATACCTCAGGAGTCACCTTGCTCCATTGAAGAAACATATTAAATTAATGAAATGTTGACTGAGGAAAAGAAAACCCACATCTGTACACAGAACTCTTCCAGCTGCCATTCAGTACTTGAATCGTGGTGATTGCAGCAAAGGTAGCTATTCCAGACTCAGATACATATTCCCTACAACCACAAGGATTTCAGCTCCCCAAATAGTCTTTCATCTTTTTTTCTTTTTTTCTTGGTTGAGTTAGCTGTTTTCTTTTTAGTGTTAAAAGTCTTGGTCAAGTTAAAGCAGAAAATGGAGAGTTGTGAATCTGTCTAAAGAAGTCCCCTAAAACCACGAGTATCTTATCAATCCTTCCTGTTTTGGCATTCTGTACTTTAAAGAGAAACATTTTTTTTTTTTTGTAACTTCCAATGCTTT